TTCTTACATACCCCAAGGAAAAGCACTCACCCGTTTTCTTAAGAAAGGCCCATTAAAATACAGTTCTACAGATAAAAGTCCTCTTCTAGTGAAAGAAACCACAGAATATTTTATAAGACATAGGACATTGTAAGAGAACTTGAGCAAGAAATAAGTCTTGCAAGCATTTAAACCTGATACGCTATTTTTACCATGAATTCTAGCAAAGGCAAACAAAGCACTAGGAAACCTGAAATTCAGAGCTGGAGCTAAACAGGTTTCTAAAGTGATCAGTAGGCCAAAATAAGAGTTTGAAACAAACAGCACTCAAAGGTTCAATTTCTCACTGAAGGCAGTAACAGTGAATTTAATTTTTACTGAAAAATTTAGGATCTCTGATAGAATCAGTGACTTATTTAAGTACTTAGGAGAAAAGTATGGGGCATACATATGCCAATTTGTTCATACAGTCCTTCATGAGAACTGGAGATGATGCTCAAAGAGGACTTGTTTTTATCTGTCTAATGTGTGTGTGTGTGTGTGTGTGTGTGTGTGTGCGCGCACACATACATATGTGTATATATATATATATATGTATGTATGTATGTATGAGTGATGGTTTGAATGCGAATCTCCCCCATAGGCTCCAAGTATTTGGAAATTTTGTCCCCAGTTGGTGGTGCTATTTTGGGAGATCTTAGAAGCTGTGGCCATCCTGAAGGAATGGGGCACATCACTGGGGCATGGCTTAGAGAGTTCTTAAACCTTGCCAATCCCAGTAGTTCTCTGCTTCCAGTGCCTGCTTGAAGATGTGAGAGCTTAGCTTATGCTCCTCCTCCAGACACCTCTGCAGCCATCCATGCCTCCCTGCCATGATGGACTGATGCTTGCCCCTTTGGAACTGTAAGCTAAATAAACACTTCCTTTTATAAGTTCCCTTAGTCATGGTGTTTTTAATCAAAGCAACAGAAAAGTAACTAATACTGTATATATAGGCAGGATCTTGCTGTGTGACCCAGGCTGGGTTCAAATTTGTCATTCTCCTGTCTTACCTTCACAAGTGCATAGATTTGTAGGTGTACATCACCATAGCGATCACTAATTTTAAAAGGAAATTATTTTAGAAAAGCTAGCATCTAAACCTGTTTTTATTCTACCTAAAATGTTTCAAAGAAGAGAAAGCAGAAAGCACACTGGGAAATGCATCACAATGCAAGCGTGAGTACCATGACTGAAAACTTGTTTTGTTGTTATTTTATTTTTTGAGACAGGGTCTCACTATGTAGCTCTGGCTGGCCTGGAACTTACTATGTAGACCAGGTTGACTCTGATCTCAGAGATATGCCTGCTTCTGTTTCTTCTGGGATTAAAGGCACGTGCCACCTGGCCTGGTGAATGAAATCTTTAATCCAGTCCATGAAGATCATCCCATGCACTGAGTATGGCTAGCTCTGCAGTCCTCCAGTTTTAAGTCACCTGGATATGCAATGCAATGGTCGACATACCTGGACTACTCAATCCTTTTGAAAGGCACCGTGCTGCTTGATACTGGTACTTTATTTTGAACAAGTATAGGCAAGTTGATACAGGGTCTCTTCTTAATCAGAAATATGTATCTACCTCTATTTAAAAGTTGTTCCATAAAGGAAGGAAGCTATCACAGTGTTCAAAAATAGGGGCTGTTGAGGGCACGGTTCCTGGGAGGGGTGGCAGAATGCAGTGATAGGAAGGGGGAGACGGGTAGTTAAAAAGGGTGGGGAATGGAAGGGCCCGGCAGAGGAGGGAGAATGGGGAGGGATAAGCAACACTAAAGGCCTTTAGAAAAAGCCACATGGAAACCTACCACTATAGAAGTTTCTTAAAGTGTGTGTGTGTGTGTGTGTGTGTGTGTGTGTGTGTGTGTATTAAAAGGAGACTAAAGGCTGGAGAGATGGCTCAGCGGTTAAGAACACTGGTTGTTCTTGCAGAAGGCTGGGATTCAAATCCCAGCACCCACATGGCAGCTAACAACTGTCCGTAACTAACTCCAGTCCCAGGAGATCTGACAGCCTCTTCTGACCTCCAAGGGCACTGCATGACACGGGTGCACTTACCTACATGCAGGCAATACACACATACACATAAAATAAAAATAATAAATAATTTTTTTAAAAAAAGAGGCTAATGAAAAAACAAAACAAAACAAAAAAGCCTCAATGCCAGAATAGACTCCCTCTTTAGAAGCTGTTGATCAGGGGTCCCATAGACCCTCAAACAAAACTAACCATTTCCCCCTGCTCTTGGTTATCCACCAGAACTGGACGTAAGACCCTATTGCTGAAGATACTATGTACATGAGCTATAGAACAAACAAGGACAAATCAAGCTGGTGCTGGCTTCAGAGCCTCCTATCTACTGGCTACCACTCATAGTGCTGAAAGGTGCTATGCAAGCTACTGGAAGGAAAAAAAAATCATCATCATCCTTACCTAGCTGTGAATCCTGTGAAGTACAGTAACAACAGGCCTGAGAAGATATGCCCACTAGTGCAATACTGACATAAATATTATGGGAGTAACCAAATACTCTACAATTAGATTTAAGGTCCACTTCCAGGATAGAACCCATATCTGATATTGTTATCAGGCTTAGAAACCTGACACTAAACAGGTCACAAGATATAGGGGAGCCCCTAATACTAGTTTCCTACTAAATAGTTAATTGTATCAAATTGATTCTTTTTTTAAAAAAAAAAATTATCACCGGGGTGGCAACACATGCTGTTAATCCCAGCACTCAGGAAGCAGAGTCAGGCAGATATCTGTGACTTCCAGGCCAGCCTGGTCTACATAGTGAGTTTTAGGTCAGCTGGGGCTACAGGGAGAGCCTGTCTCAAAAAGACAAAAAAAGTGTCTCTTATTTTTATTTTATGTGTATAAGTGTACTGCTTGCTAATATACATAGGTACACCCAAGTCATGCAATGCCCACAGAAGAGGGCGTTGTATCCCCTGGAACTGGAGTTATGGACAGTTGTTAGCTGCCATGTGGGTGTTGGAAACCAAACCCAGATCCTCTGCAAGAGCAACCAGTGCTCTTAACCATTGAACCATCTCTCTAGCCCCTACATTGACTCTTAATGACTTCCTGTTACACAGATTAACTCATTTCTCTCACCAGAGAAGTGTCCAAAGGCAACAAATGGTGATTAACACAGAAACCTACAACTGGCCAACATGCAGAGAACAAGAGGCTGCAGAGCGCTTATCTCTGAATAGTACACCTATATCAAATGTCTGTCTCCCAAGGTTCAGGGATCATTATGGAAGAGGGGGCAGAAAGATGGTAAGAGCCAGAGGTGGTGAATGACCACAAGGAAACTAGTTTTCCAGAGAGCTGGTCAGTTACTCATGTGAAGTCCCATACAAAATCAAATCAGAAAAAAATCTCAGCATAGACACGTGGAAGTGGGTAAGAAGCTGCAACCCCATCTAAGGAAATTTTGGCAACTGGTGGTTGCTGGGAGGGGCAAGACAATCTCTTTCAGGAATGGGACACTTGGTAGGTTAACAAGGCTTCAATGGAAGGATCCACACTGAAGGACATTTGGAGACACAAATTAGACCCCATAAACACTGTTATATAAATTGGGTGAGGGGGCAATAAGGAGAAGTACGGATAGAAGGGGATCTAAATTCCATCAAATTATATTGTATGAAAATTACAAAAATTTTATTTAAAAAATATTTATTTTTGCTAAGAAAAGATAGAGGCTGTTGAGTGTGGATACCTGAAGGACTCATTACTGTTTTTGAAGGTGTTAAAATTTCCAAAATAAAAAGTGAGAGAGATAAAGGGGAAGAAAAGAGGATTGAAAGGAAGAAGTGAAAGGAAAAGGAGAGGAACTAGGAAGGACGAAATTTCAGACAGCTTGGCTTGAATCTTACCTCTGTAACTGACCAAATGTTACCTCGGGAAATCCTATGTTCCTCACTCCAAAATTGGAATAATAACAGGTTCTGTGCTTAGGGTGCACAGGTCCTGGATTTTACCCCTAGAACCACCACCAGCAACAACAACAAAAATCATTTCAAAATAATGGGTCTTGCTTTATGGACAGCTAGGAACACTAAATGAAGTAACACATGTTAAGCACTCCACAGAATACATCAAACTTATCAATTATTCTATAGGACTACAATTTTTATTACAGTCAATACCTTCTTCAGTTAACAAATTTATAGCTTAGGCTTAATCTGTTGGAGAATATATTTGGTTCTTCAACAACATGACACAATCTTCGTAAAATTAAGGAAAATAACTGAGATTAAACATCTATTTTTCACTGAATATTTTCTAGGCATTTAACTTCTAGGGAGACAATAAAATTACAGGTAGGAGCCAAGCTGCTTGGGATTGAATCCCAAGTTCACCACTTGCTAGTCTTGTGACTAAGCAAATATTTACCGTGTCTCAGTTTCATGTCTGCTAAGTAGGGATGATAAGATGGACATTGTAAGGATTAAATTAACCAGTATGTGTAAACTGCTTGGAACAAGGCCAGAGTCAAACACTTAAAGTTATCGCAAACATTCAAACAGGTTCGGTTTGAAGTAATTTTCACAGGAAAATTGCTCATTATCCCCAATTTGGCAACTGTTATGCTCAGGTACTCCCTGAAGTACTAGACTAAGAGGTTTGACTTGGAAATTTACAAGCTGTTAAACTTGAACTAAACATTCACCTTCCTGCTCATCAGCTCCCCCTAGGTCACTGACTTGTAGACTGCACATATCAGAGCTTAATATCTGCTAAATTATGGCCCCAGTCTAAAGACACTTAACAGCTATGTTGGTCACTGTAAGTATGTTTGTGTGTGCACATGTATTAAAGTTCAGAGTAATAATTCAGAGTAGTGGGAATGTGATATCTTTTATTTAGATTTTCAATATGCAATGCACATGTATCGTTTCTTTAACAGTAACATGCTATTTCAAAATGAAAGTTTGTCTTGTATTTATGCAGAAAACACAGATTCCATACCTGTATTTATGAATTATGGCATTAAATAGTTTTCCATCTCTCCAGCAGGTAGTGAAATTTTCACACCGTATTCCAGCATAACCCTCTGTTGCCTGCTGTGTCCAGAGCAGCAACCTCTCTTTTGCAGACATGTCCTCTGACTCTCCAGTTACATGGATGTCAGATATCTAAATATAACAGAAGCATTGAACCATTAGGAAGGAAGTTAACACAAAGTAAGAATCTACTGTGTGCCAAGTACTTAAGTGCTATTTTACATAATCCTTGTAACACTTATTTATATATACTAAATATATTTCCCTCATTTTACAAATAGGGAAACTGAGTTTCAAGCAGACTTCCAGATTTAACTTATTTGTGTCTAAGTTAAAAGCATCTAGTGTATGTTTTAACTGGAAACCTACTCATTTTACTGTTTTAAAAAGATAAATTTAAAAATCTTATAGGCAGAGGGAATCCAGACCACACAGAATGAAGGCAGTTCTCCACAAAGGCAGCAGTACAATGAATTGGCTTTATCAGAGAAATGAGTAAAGCAAAGCTCACAAATGTCATGTCTGTAATAGCATAAAACACAAAACAGCAGAATGCAGTCTGAGTTTTCAACCTTAGGCATGTAATAAATCACCAAAGTTCTGTCTAATGCATTTACATTATGAGTTTCCTCTGTTTAATAGCAGATGCTAGACACCCACATGTTGTTTTACCCTAAGAATTATAGTTCTCATCCCAAATTAGTTGCTTACCTTTTCCCCACAGTTTTGTATATTTATTTCCAAAGACAGTATCTTCCTAGTGGTTCATTTTAATCAATATAGTATATTTTAAAAGTATGATAAAATACACATACATATATATTACATATTATACACACACACACCTGATCAATAATAGAGTGACTACACTGTACACCACAGGCCAGGTGGCACAATGACACAACACACTGGTGATCTCAGAGCTAGCCCAACAGAAGCTGCCCTGGAGGAGCATCTCCATCCCAAGAGTAACAAAGTTAATCTGCTTTTGTATTATATTAAAGTTTCACAACATTGAAAAATTCTATGTTCTTCTTTGCTAATCAGGTCTGTTAAAACAACTTAAGTGAATGGCTCTTTTTTTGCAAATCCAAACAGATCAGAAGTAAAAGGCCATAATTACTCTCTTCTACCACATGCAGAGGAGAATTTGATTCAACAGGTATTCCATGTAAAGAATAGGAAACAGTATTATTATTAACTATATTCTGTAACAATTTAGCTAAATGTCTCTAGTTTTGGTGTTAGTTATTGCTTATCATGCAACTTTTAAAAAGATTTTCAGCAGCATTCACTTGTTTTCTGAAAGTCTCTCTCACTGAATGATAAAGCAGGACATCAATTTCCATGATGTACATTTTCCCAAGGGCATCTGTTTGAACTGCTGTGAACTAGGGTAAGCACAAAGCAACTTTACCAGGGGTCCCCAGTGGCTCCACAGCTGGGATTAACACTAAGAGATGACTGTTTCCTCTGTCGGGGCAGTAAGTGAAGCCAAGAGATGAAGAGGAAACAAGCCAGGACCAGGAAGAGAAGGGGGGAGACTTTAAAGTGGGGTGAGGAGCCAAATCACCCTACAACAGAAACAAAATCCCTAGGCCAGAGCCATGAGATCTGCTTCAGTCTCACATAGCTCATTTCGAGTCTGTGAGTCAACTTCCTTTGTATGAAATCAGGAGGCAAGAGGCAGGAGATAATGTTTAAGGCTCTTTTCGGTCTAAAGTCTTACTAAAAGAATGTAACACATGCTGCAGAGCTCAGAGGTCAAAGTACAGTCAAGCAAATGACAGTGGAGAATGAGGCAATGCCAAGCTCAAACAGGAAGCCTTTTAACTTCTCAGCTGTCACAAGAGCCAGGGGCACAGTCAATCCAAGGGCCTGGGGCAGAAAGGTGGCAACACGGAAGCCCTGGCTGGGCCTGGAAGCCCCTACCACACTTGTTATTGTAAATGATGGTGGACCCTCACGCCCTCTTCGCCCAGGGTCCTAAAGACGTCAGTGCCCTGTGGAACTCCACACACAGCTGGAGACAGTGGCCTTGAAATGGGACTGGGACTTGAAAGTGACACTTGTTCCATTTTAATCCTCTTCCCTAGGAATCTGTGCTAATTTTCTACAGCATGGGCAAGAACTACACATGCATGGACACACCTAGCACATGGACACACCTAGCACATAGCATACAGAAGGATTTCACTTTTATTTGGAAAAAAAGCACCACTATTTTCTACTAACTTCCAAGGATTTTTCAGGCCTACATTAAGCCAGCACACTTCTGTGACACAGTCCACCCATTAGCTTGTTGACTATTTACAAGCTTAGCTGCTGAGCTGTTTCCTCACTTGTAAAATAATGGTCGCATATACATGAGAATTTAACACTGGCATGATGTAATAATACCTGGCTCATTGGAAATGCATGTTCAGTACACCTAGGCTATTTTACTTAAATGTTGTTATTCCTTTTGACAATGGGGTAAGCAAAAACCTGGTTTTATGTTTCTCCTAATTCTCTTAAATGTATAGAGGACTGTTCTGTTGCTTGTTGATTCAAGAACATGCTGGGACAGTCCAGTTAGAAAAGCAGCTACCTGTTAACTAAGGAACTCAGTAAATTTCGACTATAAGGAGCCAGTGTAAAAGGAGAAGGTGCTACACAGGGTTCCACCTGAGTGAGGATGTTCAGGAGTGAGCTTTAGGTCTGAAATGGTGACAGAGGAAACAAGGTCTTGCTATTAAATTTCCAATGATGAATTCTGGACTGCTACTCACACAATCTTATTTCCAACTATTACACATACATAAAGTAGTTTTAAAATTCTAATAATTTTAAAATACATATTTAATTATGTCATGGACCATGATTTACATTGCAGACTGACACACAAACTTTTTCTTCCTCTCCAGGAAGTCTCAATTAACTATCTTCCTCACACAGTAATTTAATTTTTTCTTGATATTTTACTTTGTTTTATTGTTTGTAAGGACAAAGTCTTGTTATGTAGCCAAGATGCCATTCTCTGGCCTCAGCTTACTGAGTACTTGTATCACAGGCTTACACCAACATGACTGGCTAAGATACTTTTTAAAGAGACTATTATGGGCCATGATATGTAAAGTATTTTGCCATGAAGTATGACGTTTGAGACTCTGGGCTTGATATACATGAGCGCGCGTACACACACACACACACACACACACACACACACACACACGCATGAGTTAACATTAGCCAAAATCTCAATATATCATATTTTTCTTGATACTCTTACAACTTTAAAGTTTGCTAAAATGCTAAAATTATAAATCTGTAGTTACCACCCATAAACCCAAATTTGAAATCATGTTCTCAAACAGCCAATGTTAAATTGAGGATGCCTCCACATTCAATAGGAGTTTGGGGGAAAAAAAATCAAACTCTTTTCCAAGCCTACAGACAATAAATACAGTGATATCAGAGGGCTTAAGTTCATGCCATTTCCATCTAAATCTCAATTCCAATCTTAACAGGAGGAATGACTACAGACTATTCACAAAGTCCTCTAAAGTCCATTTCCTCTCATTTTTAAAACTTAAATGATGATGGGGCTTGAGAGATGGCTCAGCGGTTAAGAGCACTGACTGCTCTTACAGAGGACCCGGGTTTGATTCCTAGCACCCACATGGAGGCTATGAACCATCCTTAACTCCAGTTCCAGGGGAATCCGAAGCCCTCTTCTGACCTCCACGGCACTGCACGACACAGGTGCACTCACATACATGCAGACACTTGTACACATAAAATAAAAATAAATAAAATATTTTTAAAAAAACTTAAATGATATAATAATGTCTATCTTCGTGGATGGCCCTAAACATTATAAGAAATAATCACACCGAGTGCTGAGCATAGAAACTCCTCTTCCAGGGTTGTATTAGTAGTTTTGGTCACTCAAGCTTCTCCTCAGCAGTCTATCAGCTAGCATCAAAAGCAAACACAATACCTTATACCAGAGTCCTTCGGGAAATTTGAAGCCCTCATGCCTCACATCCAAGTCACTCTTGGCTCAAGTTCAAGCTCTTCTGTCACTGAGTCTTTCCGTCTGTATTTTATTTTTGTTTCATATCTCCTGACCTGCCTCCCAGCACTCCAGACTTTGCCTGGTAAACAGCCTGGCCTGTTAAATACCTTACACGGCTCCTTACTTCTCATTGAGTCTCAGATCTCCCCCACTTCAACCATTCAAGTTCAGCTAAGCTCCCTAGGCCTGCAGGTATCTTTTCAAACCATTGCCTATGGTAGAGACCTCATTTCCACATGACAGGACACTCGTGTCTTACCTCCCTCTTCTAGTCCTCAAAAATGAACTCCCCACAATTGCTTAGCAGTGTGTGTCTACATGCTCAAACTTCATCTCCACGTAACACCCTAAACCCACAGTCCTGTGTCTCCTGTGTCTGTCACTCACATCTGCACCCTCAGTATCAGCTTGAAACATGTGTAGCCTGTCTCAGACAACAACTTCCGGCAGTAACTTCCTATTTGCCACACTTGCATTCTCTAACCAAACCAATTACCTGGCTCCATGAAGACCCCACATTCCTTGACTTGTCTAATTTTATTCTAATCTTGTCACTTCTCATAGGCTAAGTTGGAATGTAATTCTTAGCTGGAATGGACTTATGCAATAAAAACAGATTAACAAGTTTATTAATATATACTCGGGAATCAGGACGGGCTGTGAGAGACTAGAATTTGTCGTTAGGAAATATGAAATGGTGCTGAGATAAGGCAAGATGCAACAGCAGCAGGAAAGCTCACTGCCCTCTCTCCATGTGCTTAAAAGCAGGACACGGTTCTACAAAAAAGTATTCTGCCACGGCCCTGATGGTGATGCTTAGCTTTAATCATTAACAGGACACAACCTAGTTACCTGGGATGAGAGTCTCAATAAGAGATTGTGTACCCCTTGGGTGGGTCTGTCTGTGTACACATTCTTTTATATGTGAAGACCCAGACCACTGTGGGCAGCACCATTCTCTAGGCAGTGGGTTCCAAACTGTGGAAGTGTGGCGAAATTGAGCTGAGCACAAGCAAACAAGTAGGTGCATTAAGTTTTGTTCTGCTCTTAATTGTGAAGGTCATCCAGCCAG